AAAAAAAACCCTGCACTATCAGAGAAGTGTTCAGCATTACCAACATGAGAAAATGGTTAAAAAGTCATGATTTTAGAGTCTGCTTATTTATTCTCTGTTGCTATTCATTGAGAAGAAAAATGCTCACAAGTCCTGGTTACTCCAACAAAAATGTTACCAGGCTATGTTGTGGTTTGAATTTGATCGTGGGGAGTTATTGAAGAGTTTCAGCAGGGAGTGACAAAATTTGCTTTGCCATTTTGAGACCTCACATAGGCAAAAGTGGGCCAATTTAAATGATTACATTAATAAAAAGGTTGTTTTGTGTTGAGTTTTCCTTACTCCATGTTAGCTGAGTAAGTGGAATCCTTGCATTTATCTAGGAAAGAGCATGATACGAGAGGACAGGAGCGCATGAAATCAATGGTGGACACCAGCATAGGTGGTGGCAAGGGGGTGGTAATGGGTTAGTCCAAGTCACAGGCAGAGTCTGCTTACCTGACCACACCATTCTAGTTGCCTTACGGTTCCCAGGGGTAGTAGTCACACCCCTGCCTGGAAGGGACTGTGGTTCAACAGCACCCATTGGACCAGATGTGGCTAAGCAATCTGTAGGCATGGAGAACTCAAGTCCTTCCCAAGCTAGTACTGATGATCCAGCCATAGACATTTTCATTTACATGGGGTTGAAAAAGTGAATAATTATTGAAGATTTTTATTAATGTCAAGTGAACTTAGAAGATAAAGACTAGCCAAGTATAATTAAGTTAGGAATGATACTTTAACTGAATTTTAAAGGTGAACAGCGACTAATCCATATGGAGATTAGAACTAGATGCTAGAAGAAAGGACAGCATAGTGATAATGATGGTATAGTTCATTAATATTTACTATGTGCTGAGCACTGTGCTGAGCACATTACATGCATCATCTTATTTAGGCCCCATGACCAATTACTAGGCAGGTATTGCCAGATTTCACAAGAGGAGACAGAAATGGCTACTTGCTCAGGGTTACACATTTGTAAGTGGTAGATTGCTCTATTATACAACTATAAGGGGGACAGTGCTGATCTAGACTTCATCAGACCCACAAGGAGGTTCTTACATGGGTGACAGTGAATTGATGGCAGTTATGGAGCAACAATGTCTCCGTACATTGTTGGGGTTGAGAAAACCCTGAGGCTGACCCAGGTGCAGTCCACCTATACCCAATGCTTTGGGAAGGCAGTTTCCTTAGAAACCTGTGCATGAGTTCATGTTCCAACATCCCTAAAAGTGATTTTGATGACGAGGAAATGGTCTTTAAAAATGAACTGAAACCTATAAATTTGCAAATTATTCAATTGAAAACAGAAAATGAAATGAAATGATTCAGTTCAACCTGTGTTTTCTGTTGCATATAGCATCAGTAGAAATCAGTGAAGCTGCAGAGGGAATTCTCTAATGAACCAGATTAAGAAGGACACATATGAAAGATTGAAAAAGAGACACGTAATCCAGGATAAAAGTTTGGCTAGAACCAGTGGGTATAATGCAGCAAAGAGGCTGAATCTGAAAAACAACAACAAAAAATCCTCTTAAAGACAGCAAAATAGTGCCTTTAAAGCTGTTTCTTTTGGATTGAGGACAAGGAATGAATAGGCCCAGTGCGGAGACAGATGGTGTTATGTTACATGATGAAGAAAGACACGATTTTCAATTCTTAGTTTTCCTGTTTTCTTTACCAAGGAAAATGGTCCTCAACCTAGAAATGTTAAACAAATATCTAGAAAAGGAAATTGGACCTGGATGAGAAATCTAGGGAGCAGTAAGTTCAGATTTCTGAGCTCAAGTGAAAGATGATACGTAACGTAGTATTTGGCATGTGGCATTACTCGATCAGAACTTGTTGAATCAGCCAAATTAACCCCCTAGTGTTGAAATAACTTGCAATTACACCATGTCTTTGAAAACTCAGGAAGAACCAGGAACCAAAAAACTAGAAATGAATACATTTTCTACCCTCACATGGGGAAAAAAAAATGAATTCTGGTCCCTGTCAAATTCTAAAGAGGATTACAAAAGAAATTATGAATATTTAGAAAGAAATTAAAAGTTTTAAATGAACCACTAGTATTTACTGAGAAGCTGTGGAAAATAAATGTCAGTTTATTTTCTGAACGGCGTTACGAGGTTTGTGTTACCCCATGGACAGGGCTGACATTGTGAAGCTTGATTTCAGGAAAATATTTTGTTATCAAAGTTTCCTGTAATAGCCTCATAGATAAGTATAGAAGCATGGGCTGGATAATTGGGTACATGTAGAGTCCGTAAAATAGGCTCACCCAAAGGCTGAGAAAAGTTCCCCAGTGGGTCAGATGTCTGTGTTCTTGGTCCGGTCCCATCTGACATTTTATTTTTCAAAATTTCATAAGGATTATTGAAGGATTCCACAGATACCCCTACTCTGGGAGAGATGGATTAGATGGATAAAATTTTTTAAATATTTCCCCTTTATAACTGAAAATAAAGTCTCAATGATAGACAAATATTAGATAATCAAGGTGAAAATTCAAACCTGGGAAGGAGTCTGACAGATTTTACTCTGAGAAAGCTGATCCAATAAACACAAATATGAATTTAGTTTATATAAGTGGGAACAGTGAGTTATTGACATTAAGAATCCAATTATTCTTAATAGGAGGGACTTCTAGTTCTAAGTTGTACTGACCTAAAGATATGCTAATTCCTAGAAGGAAATGGAGGATTTAATCTCTTCATTTCAAAAGAATGTACTGCATAGACACAAATGCCAGGTACCCATTGTTAAATCTCCTTGATATGGCTCCTTTGTCATCGATGAGTCTGGAAACTCTGGCTGTACCTTCAGGGAGCAAATTCCTGCAATAGAGCCTGAGAAGATGATTTTGCCCCCTAGATCAAGGGCAGAGTCACCAGAAAAGTTTATGTTTATTATCTTTTTTTAAAAAAATGTTTTTTAAAGATTTATTTATTTATGCATCCAAGAACTGGGGTACAGACCAGAGGTGCAGAGGGTGAGAGGATTCACCAGAGACAGAGTGGGGAACAGAACAAGCAGACTGACTGAAATACACTGCTGAGGGGAGCAGAGGGCGAGTAAGGAGAGGTCTGCCTCGCCATGTGGGTAGCTCCCTGGCTGGGGATCAAACTTGTGCTGCGGTGGCTGCGGATAGCTTCATAGGTTGACTTCTAACCCCTTGTGCCACCAGGGAGGCCCATATGTTTATATCTTGATGGAACAAAATAAACAAGATGATATTTAACAAGATACAAATAAAACTTTAAACTAGGTTAAGAAAAAGATCAGTTGCACAAATAGCTAATGAAGTCATCAAACCTGAAAAGACTAGTCGTGTGGAAAAACCAGATACATTTGCAAGTTAGTGAGAGCCCAGTAAAGATAGGAACGCAGCAATTTCAGGCCACAGGGTGAAGGTGCAATGGTGTCTCCACTCTGGGTTGCTGGCATTTTATTTGAGTAATTTATAACTTACTTTCTTCCCTCCTCTCTCTCCTCTTTAATCTTCCCTGCATGAAACTCCACCAGGCATTCTCCTCCTCACCCACCTTTACTGTCCCTTTGTGTCCTACAGCAGAAAGTACAAGAGCCTCAGAATGACGCTCAGGGGCCACTGTGAGTCAAACCTCATACATTCCCAGGCCTCACTCTCTACCCACACACCCCTGCCCAGTTTCTGTCTCCACTACCTTCTTTGTCTTTGTCCACATTATTCCCTCTTCTTGGAAATGTTCTCACCCATCCTCACTAATTCTTGTCTTCAGTTGAAGCACTACCTCAGAAAACCCAACCTATGTTCTGGGCAAGCTATTTACCTTCTATGCCTATGAGAAGGCGGGAGGAAGTCACGACAAGGAGGTGTGGTGTACTAGCAGTGAAAAGCATTGGCTTAGAGTAAGGCTTGCTTGAATTCAAGCCCTGGCCCTCCCACTTACTCACTGAGCTTGGGCGTGTTACTTTCTTCATCTGTCAAGTGGTGATAATAAGGAAATCCACTGTGAGTTTATTGTAAGGATTAAAAGAGATGCCACTTAAAAGGCACATAGTCCATCAACTGGCATGTAACTGGTACAGAATAAACAGTAGCTCATTATTATGCTTCTATTTCCTGTGTAGAAGGAAGTTATTGTCTAACTGGTAATGAAAAAGAGTCTCCAAGAGGTTAAAGAACTTACTCAAGGTCATTAGTATTTTCTGTCTGCACTGTTTCCCCCTCATAGGACGCTCCAGCATAAATCCCTCTGGAATAGTCATCATTTTGGCAATACAGCCTGTGTTTTACTAGAAAGGGCTGTGACATAATAAAAAGTCACTTCCATGTTGCCACTTCTCAAACATGCCCTAAACATTTTACCATCTAAACATGTAACCTCTAACATTGAGTATCCCAAGGCAGCATCAATTTTTTCATGGTGATTCTTCTGTTTAATTTAAGCTATAAGAATATATGGCTATATCTTTTTGCTTGAGAATCAAAACTGATTTTTTTTCATCGTTTCGCTTTGCTTTCTACAAAAACCCAAAATCCCATCACTATTCCTCTACGACCAAATGTGGTATGACTACCCTGATCATGAAGGGGCTCACACCCCAGCTGGGCACTCAGAGGGCATTTGATTTGTGAGGGGGGACAGGAGGTGAAGGAGATAATAAGCAGCAGGTGGAAACACATAGAAGTTTTATGGGGGATGTTCAACTAGGCAGGAAAAGGGTCATTTATGGCAGGACATTACCAAGGGTATAAGACCCTTGGAACTGAAGTTTTTCTGCCCGAAATGTCCAAGAGGAGCGCCCCCAGAGCATGCACAGGTGGGTTTTATTTGTCATGTCCGTGACCTCAGGGCATCAACAGGCCATCAGGGGGCTGCCGCCCGCCGAGCCCTTTTTGCTACAAACACGGCCTGCTAAAGCAGCTTCTACGCAGCTTGATCATGGGGAGAGAAACGCCAATCTAACCCATTTGCTGTTGATTTCTTAAGCAGATTCAGGCACACAGGATGAAGCACAGCTTATGCAGGAATGGTTTAAGTTGGTTCTGGAGAAGAATAAATTAATGCGCTATGAGTCGGAGCTACTGATCATGTAAGTAAAGCAACACTGATAACAATGAGTCCTAAAAGCATAAGGGGGTGGCTCCCCCTCCTAGGTTGAAGTCCCAGAATTTTTTCTCCTTGTGCATACAGAATTGTGATTGAGGTAAATTGATATTTGATGTCTTGCATATCATGCTGGCATTAGTGCAGCGAAGCTTCAGTTGTCTGTTTTCTCTGTGGAGTCCTGTGGCTAAAATAGATTTCACGGAATGGGGCTGGAGCTGGAGGGAGTTCAGATGAGTTATTACCAATCCATCCCTGTCCCCCAGGCCAGGGGTGACCCACCTACAGTGACACACCTGCAATGGGGAAGCACGTGACTGAGTTCTGCGTGTGGGTCATGGGAAAGGTTTGGTGACATTGCCTGCAGGGCTGCAGATGGAAGGACTGAGATCTGTCTGACTGTCCTCTTGGAATGAGAGGTTGCAGCCTGGATGGGAAATAAAGCAGACCTGGATCTTAGCACATGCTGAGAGAATAGAAGTCCTCTATACTATCACCACTCTGGAGGGAAAGGAAGGAATAGTTAACATAAACCCACCAAGTGCCACAAGTTCTACTGGGTACTTTCACTTATGTTGACTGTCCATTTTCACTCCAACCCTGAGGTGATTTGGGGAGTCTTTGAAGGAGCTCATAAATTCTCTTCTTTTCTGCTGGGTTCTCCTATTTCTGGGAAATGAGATAACCAAGTGAATAGAGGGAATGTCAAAATATCACCTTTATTTTTTTTTAAAGATTTATTTATTTATTCAAGCACTGGGGTACAGGCCAGAGGCTTGGGAGGGTGAGAGGATGAACCAGAGACAGAGCAGGGAGCAGAACAGGCAGAAGGACCGAAGTACACTGCTAAGGGGAGCAGTGGGCGAGACAGGAGAGGTCTGCCGTGCCATGTGGGTATCTCCCTGGCTGTCCAGGAATTGAACCGGTGCTGCAGAGGCTGCGGACAGCTTCAGAGTGCTGCACTCAACCCACTGTGCCACCGGGGAGGCCCCAATAATCACCTTTATTACTGATAATAACTAGCATGGCTAAACATGGGAGCCCAAGTGGACTTGCTAATTGTTTCCTAGAGCTGGAGTAGCTTGTTTACAACAACAGCTATTTATTCTCTCCAGTTCTGGAAGACAGAAATCTGAAATCAACGTGTCAAGAGGGTGATGCTCCCTCCAGAGGTTCCAGCAGAGAGTCCTTCCTTGCTTCCTCCAGCTTCTGGTGGCTCTAGGCCTCCCGTGGCTGGTGGCTGCATCGTTCTAATCTCTGCCTCTGCCTTCACAGTTTTCTCTGTGTCTCTGACTTCTTTTGTGTCTTATAAGGATAATACTTGTCACTGGGTTTAGGCCCCTCTAGGGTAATCCAAAATGTTCTCATCTCAAGGTCCTTAATTATATCTACAAAGATTCTTTTTTCAAATAAGAGCCCAGGGGTTAGTTCATAGACAAATCCTTTCTTGAGGTGGCGGAGGGAGGATCACCAGTCAACCTACATTTACCTAGTCCCAGAATTAGACATTCTTACCTACCTAATCACAAAGGATAGTGGACCCACTTACTTCTCAGGGACAAAGATTTTACCCTCAACTAATGGTTCTCAACTGTGGGTAGTTTCACCTCCACAGGGATATTCAGTAATGTTTGGAGATATTTTTGGCTGTCACTGCTGGGAGGTGCTATTAGTGAGTATAGGCCAGGAGTACTACTGAGTGTTCTACAGATCACAGGACATTCTCCTGCCCGCTCCACAAAGGAGTATCCAGTCTAAACTGTCAGTGGGGGTCAGGTTGAGAGATTTTGCCCTAGTAGACAGGACAAGGCTCACAGTAACAGCGATCACATATTTGCTGCGGGCAAGCTCATTCCAGGAGAGGAAAGGTGTGAGCTGAGCTCACCTAATCATTTCTTCCCAAATGGATCTCCCCTGGGGCGGTCATAAATAAAGATGAAAACTGGGGGAGGAAGCCAGGCCTTATTCTTAGCTTCTCTGAAATGGAAGGTAATGCCAGGAATAGGAAGGAAGGGGTCATCTGTAGTATATATTTGTTCGATCACTATTTTTCAAGTTGATGCACAGGCTGAGACTCAGAGCAACTAAGTCATTTATCCCCGTCCACCTGATAGAGAAGTCCTTTTTTACACAACCTTACCATCTGTCTTCGGACCAGGTCTGAATTATAAAGTACATTCAACAAAAATATAAGAAGCAGATTCCTTGTGCTAGAGCTGAGTGCTGTAGAAATAAAGATGAATTAAGTCTCCGCACCTCCTCAGATTGCATGGTTTTCAAGGGAGACAGACATGCATGACATAGAGATGGACGTAACGTGACAGCATCAGAACACATGGCAGTGCTCCACCGGGCTAGGAGCAGTTGTGGGGAGCCTACCTGAGTTTACCTTCTGCTCAGTTTCTGTGGCTTCCCAGTTAGTGTACCGCAGTAACTGGCCCTCTTTTCCAAAAGGGCCAAAGAGGAGAGCTGGGTCCTATGAACTAGACATAGGCAGATAGAACTCTACTAAAGGGTAGGTTTTAGATTAGAGAAAGATCTAGATGAAAAAGGAGACATGTCTTGGATTGATGTGTCAATTCATGTCCTTTGAGAAGCAGATACCAAGACAGAATTAGAAGTACAAGGGATTTATTGGGGGAAACTCCTGGGAGGGGTACAGGGGAATGGGAGGAATATGGGGTATGTCTTCTACCCCAGAGCTGTTCTGATACCTGTGAAAGGAGACTGTGGAGGAAAGGGGGTTCTCAGGGGGAGCCTCAAACTGCAGTGCAGCCTGAGAAAGTCTCAGCTAGGCCAAAGGGGCCAGTGGAGCAGTGATGGCTTGCAGAGAGTTCAAGGTTGGACAAGAAGGGCCTTCTTGACACATATACCACTGTGTTCAGTCATTGGCAGGTCTGCCAGGAAACAGCCTGGCTTTAGCATGACATTGGGTGGATTCTGCAGCAGTAGTCAGCTCCAGACAGTCCTTAGAATGTTCTCTTAAAGGGGCAGTGCAACTTTTTTGGCTACAACAGCAGGGCAAAAGAAGTCCAGTGTCAACAACAAAAGGCAAATATTGAGCAAGGCAGGAATCCCAATCCAAGCAGTAGTAGAAGGAGTAAAAATGCAGACAGCAACAACAAGATACAGGAAAGTGACCCCAACACATGCAGACAATGGGGGAAGCTGGAAGGGAAGGCCCCACCATTTCAGGCCCAAATTCTCATCCTCACCTTCTTTAATGTGGAGTAAACATGTAAACATTACTTTCTTTGTAAACATGCTTGACCTCAAAATTTCCTTTTTTTGGTTTCTGTGATGTTGCATTTCTTGTTCTGTCCTTGTAAACGTTTGCTTGCTTTTTCCCTGACTCTACTTCTAATTTGGCTGCTATATACAGGTGTTCCCAACTTGCTATCTGTGTTCCTCATTCCCTAAAAACAATATAGCAATGTTCCCAGAGCTTTGGGGAACCTGAAAAATAAGCTAGCATGTGGCGAGCTTACACATGCCCCAGGAGATACATGGGATATCTCCCGGCACTGAAATTTCAAGAAAGTTCCAGAACTGACCTTCATCAAGAACTAATTTCACTTCTTGACTTTGTTCTTCCTATCAGTGGTCCCACTGTGTCCCTGGACTCGGCTTGATGACTCCAAAACCTCATCTATTTTTGTTTCCATGATCCTACAACCAGAGCGTAAATTGAGTTGTGTTGCCTCCACTTGGACAAAAAGTCCAGTGCCTGTTTCCTCCACCTCTTTTTCTTGCTCACCACAATCAGAGGTTTGGGAGTCATTAGCAAAGATACTTGAAGTCATGTTGCCCCCAAAAGACAGATGAGTTTCAGATTGTGATCATGTCTCCCTGAACTGTTCTAGTCTCTTCTTCACCATGCATCCCCTGAGTGTCTTCACTATGCATCCCCCTGAGTGTCTTGCAGAGGTCTTTAGAGAGCACATCACACGTCTGGCTGCTCCCCATCATCTCCTGAGTCCAGCATATCTCAGTGATCCTTCTAGGCACCTGCAGGACCCCAGCAGCATCAACCCTTTCTGCTTAGAGATATTTCATGATGTCAGTATTGATAAGGAAAAAAGAATGTAGTAACTACTGTCAAGGAAGCTATTCATCCATGTGTCTAAACAAATCTCTAATTTACAAAGTTTGAACATTTTTTCATCCCCAGGGCCCAAGAACTAGAATTAGAAGATCATCAAAGCCGACTGGAGCAGAAATTAAGAGAGAAATTGCTCAAGGAGGGTGAGTGTGATAATATATTTTGGGACCTTGTTAAAGACATTTTTCCCCAGAAATACTCTTGAGCAGAAAATGTTGAAATGGGAGCGTGGAGTGCGCTCCCTGCCTCACACAACCAACCTGGCAGTTGGAGTGCAGAGCCAGCCTGCCTGTGCTCACCTCCAGCACAGCCAGCCCCTAGTTATCGTCTTCCCCTGTTAATGAGAGCAGCATTTTGCTCCATCCCAAGTGCAAATAGGAAAAAAATCATTTATTCACACATCCATTCACTTAGCCATTCATTTAACAAATATCTGTTGAGAATCTAGCGTGGACAGGTATATGGTAAAAAACACCCCTCCCACATGATCTCATGGGGAGACCATCACTTAGACCAGTAATTAGAGTACCAGCAGATGAGGGCATGATGCTTTGGGAACTCGGGAAGCCGTGCCTACTTCTGCCAGGCACTAGATATGGTCAAAGAATCATTCCTTCCCAATAAAAGCTGGCCTGGGGTAACAAATTATTTCCACCACATAGTGGAAATAAACTCAATTGACCTCATATACTGATTTGCACATTCATTGACTCCTGCCTGCTAGGCACAAGCACTGTTTTGTGCCTGTGTGTTTTGGGGGCCAGATCCCCACATGGCATCCCTACATTTAGACCTAGGTCTAAAAGAACAAGTGAAATCATTTCTTTAAGCCTCATGAGCCAACATTGCACCTACCTGTGGGGTTGCCTGATACAGACCAAGTACTTGGTAAAATCGGAGACATCACCATTGCGATCATTGTTATTTAGGTATCTTATCCTCATTTTACAGAGTAGATAACTGAGTCTCAGAGAATTTAAAAAGTATGCTCAAGGAAATGACAGGGCTGGCTAAGTAACAGATCTCACAGACCCAGGTCCCCTTTCATTTCCATATAGTAGTGATTTATAAATTGTTTCTTTATAGCAATAAAATTCTCTTTCTAACAAAATCTTAAAGAGCTGCACTACAGAGGAGAAATAACAGTGGTGTATATATTATATTTTAGTTGTTGAAAGGGGCTCAGATGGGTCTAGCGATGACAAGATGATATAGAGAGAGTTATTTTTCTATGTTGGTTATAAACAAGCATTCTAATTTATATCGCTCATGGAGATCAAATGAACAAACCATAGTGTATAACTAATGTCAGATTTATACATCTGATAAAACATTTAATAATAAAACATCTTTTTCAGGATGGGGAATAAATACCACCAAAGACTATTAGCTACCTTTGCATTTTCTTTTAGTTCTTGCTAAGAGCAAAGGTCATATATTTTCTCACCCCTCTCAAGGGTACCAAAGTTGGGGGGAGCAGTAGCGTCTTCATTTTCAGCTTGTCTTCCACAAAAAAAATAAACGAATTATCCCTCTCTGGTAAACTTAGTCTGATGCAATAATTTAAATAGTCCCTGCAGGAAATGCTCAGTCTCTTTGGGATGTAAATGTTCAGTCTTGCAGATCCCCCATCCCCACTCACCCTTCCTTCTGCTTTTTCTCCTGAGGTAGCTGCCAGGTAATGGGGAGAGGCAGGTTTATGTCACCTGGAGACATTAGCAATCCGTCTGGGTTGCTTTGACTCATTGTGTCTGATCATTGTCATCATCATCACCACCATCATCCTCAACATCATTGTCTGACACTCTCTGCTGGCATAATCCGGAGCCTGGCCATTCTCTCCTAAGCTTGGAGCCCAGTGGAATTCCCTGGCTCACTCAGTTCACCTAGCACTTCCTCCATTCAGTTTGGCCAAATAGCATACCAGTCAGTATCCACTGTGGGGCCACTTCCCTCCTCATGGTTGGGGAATCCCCTCGCAAGCCCTTTGACAGCTCTGGGACAGATGGATTCATCCAGGCTGTGTCCATGGCACACACAGTAGGTCAGAATCTGGGGTCACACTCAGATCCTCTTCTTAGTTCAACCATAAAGTGCTGCCTTGTGTTTATACACAGGGCACCCTTTACCTGGCTTTCCCCTGGAGTTCCAAGCCAGGGACAGGGCCAGAGTCCTTGGGCCCCGGTGTTCCCATGAAATGATAGGGCATTTCTTGCCCCCTTGGGCCTTCCACGTCCCAGAATGGAGTGACCAGAACAGAACACAGGGCTCTGACCCTCTGCTACTCCTGCCTCTTTCCTCTCCCTCTGTAAAAATATTCTCAAGGTGCAAAAGGGATGGGATGGCTTCAAGGCCCTTTTGCTTTACATTCCACCTTCCTGTCTGCATCTGCAGAGATGAGCCTGATGTGAGAGATGGTGTCTTCTCTGCTGCAGGATCAGCTCGCTGCCTAGCCCCTGTGTGCTAACTGGTAGGGTGTCTTCCTGGAATTTAAAATTTAAAAAGTCCTCTCTTAAGGCAATAATCTGGTTGGCGAGACTTGACTTTGCTTTTAAAATCCTACTCTAATGTCAGAAAGCCCTGACTACCTGTTTCTTACTTTTCACCTTCCTTTAACAGTCTTACCTCCCCCAGGCAATCAGATGCCTGGAGCCAATTAGGAACCAAGTCCTGTATTCAGAAACACAGCAAGAAAAGCTAGTCACAGTCACCTGTTGATCAGTCATAGCCTCAGAGCTTCTGCCTGATCTCTATTCAAAGGGCTGCAATTTCCTCAGCCACAAATAAAGAAAGGATTCTCACTGTGGACATACTAGCCACTGTGGCTATGATATGCTTCAAAACCTGTCTCACAGATTTCTTTGCTGTAGTTTAGATATCTAGTTTTTATTTTTTATTTTATTTTATTTTTTATTTATTTATACAAGCACTGGGTACAGTCAGAAGCTTGGGAGGGTGAGAGAATTCACCAGAGCCAGAGCAGGGAGCAGAGCAGGCAGAAGGACCGAAGTACACTGCTGAGGGGAGCAGCGGGCGGCAGGAGAGGTCTGCGCGCCATGTGGGACCCTCCTCTGGTGGCGGGGAGCAGCTGGGGATCGAACCAGCACAGCAGAGGCTGCGGGCAGCTTCGCAACCCAGCGCTCTACCGCTGTGCCACGGGGGAGGTCCAGTTTAGATATATTTTTGAGAAATAGCTTTTTGTGTGTTTTGTTGGTTTCTTTTTGGCAGGGAGAAAAGATTGGGGACTTGGTAGGACTTGGTGTGCATTAACTTCTTATTCTCACAAAGGGGTTTTCTCATCACTGTTCAAATATTCTCAAGGTGAAAGCTGAGCTGACAGTCACACAAAGCACCCACATTTCTCACCTGTGGCTTTGAGGGCAGTCACCCAGTGTTAAATCCATTGCCTTGTTCTCTCCATAGAAATTAAAGGGCAGAACAAGTCCAAAACAATCAAGAATGCCCATGCCAGGAGCTCTCCTGGGGCCGACTTTTACCTGAGGTTCAGTGTTTTTCTCTTTTTCTTTAGAGAGCCAAAAAGATGAGAATGATCTAAATGAGGAGCAAGAAATATTCTCCAAGATGATGCAAGTGATTGAGCAAAGGGACAAACTCGTAGATTCCTTAGAGGAACAACGCATCAAAGAAAAGGCTGAAGACCAACACTTTGAAAGCTTCATATTCTCCAGGGGCTACGGGCTGAGCAGGACCTGAGTGGGACATGAGCTGCCCAGGGGCCCCTCTGTTGAAGTCATCCGAGGTGTCCCTGGGGCTGAGTGTCCCTCACATATTTCCTTCTTTTGCAGGATTTGTCATACCTGGAACTTGAGCTATTCCATACTGTACTATTGTTTAAAAAAATTAAAATTCTCTCATAGGTACCAAGATCTTGCCAGAGTTTCTAAAGAAAATACAAAGACTTTTGGAATTGACAGGTAACTTCTGCAGGTTTCTGAGACTGGAAGTGACTGGGGGAAATAACCAGCATCGGTTTCCCTAAAAAGTGACTCCTGCTGCTTTATCATTTATCTTCCCAATTCATTGAGTTACACCTCTTAAGATTTTTAAGAACCTGCCTTTTCATTAATATAGCCATATTTGCCTTTTTTTTGCATGGATGACCAGTTTCCAAATGTCAGAAAGAAGCAGCCGAAGTTTAAAGATTAGGTTAATATTTAAATGGTGTTTACAGACAAAGAAGAGAAACCTTGAGATTAGTGATTACATAAAGCAAATAATTCAAATAGCAGGTGTTAATTCAATCCAGGGTGAATTTAATTTACCAGGTGTATGTTTAAGCCTTAATATAATATGCAGAAGCAATGAGAGTTTAATAGAACATTTGAGCCTTAATTATATTTTTTAAAGAAGAGAAGAAAGAAGGACTTTAACTTCTTACCAGCAGGATGGTTAATTTTCACCAAAAATGGTTGGCTTCAAAAAGCTTTTTGTTCTCAGAGCACGCTCCATATGGCTTCTGGAACATAATGGAAAGGTTTTTAAGGAAATAATTTTGAAGTGCTTTTATGGAACTGTTGGCCATTGCAAAAAAGAGAAACTCTTCCATTTGTTGATAAAATATTGGTGAGGTTGGTGCTGCTACTAAAAATGAACACACTGTATCGTATCACACTGTGAGGAAGGCTTCCCCACGGTGGTCTCCTTGGGTCCAAACAGAACTTTCTCTGACACTCAATGAAGGGATTTCCCAGGAATTCTATGGGACAAGGACAAAACCAGCTTGAACATCAAGATGGAGCTGAGTGTTATGACCCCATCATGAAATCCCAAAGTGGGCGATGCATATTTGAGGTCATGTTTAATGTGGGAGAAAGCTGGAAGATGGAGTTCCTGCACTGCCATGGGATCCCTGGGACGTTTTTACAGTTCTTATGGAGAATCAGTGGAAAAGATTTTCGATGGTGTTCTCACGCCATAAAGTATTTGTTTCCCCTCACCTGGATTCTTTGATGATTCAGTCTGTTTTTGACAAGAAGAAGACTGAAGAATACTCTGTTGTATATTTGACTTCTCTCGTTTCTACAAGTATTCCATGTATCATTAAACCAAAGCTGCTTTGCAAAAGTTGGCCCTGACTGGATACCTATGTCTAGCCAACGGACAAGCCAGAAATTAGAAGTGTAACTGTAACTGGATTTCCAGTCAACCAGCCTGTGCAGTGGCACATGGCACCCTTCTAGGGTATACCCATGGCACCCTTCTAGGGTATACCCAGTTCACAAGGTTGTAGTTCTTTTTTCTTTTTCATTCTTTCTTGTTTTTTACCAATCATGTCTTCTAATGCCTGAATTCTAGTATTAGGAAATATGTGCAAGCATCTATCGATCGATCTATGAAAACTGTGCTACTTACAGTTAGTTATTTAACTATTTTTTATTTATTTGTATTTTTGGTAGAAATTGCTAACATGATTTCCTTATAATTCTGGCTTCCCTGTGTTATAATTTGGAGAAGACCTAGTAACACTAAGGTATTGGTATATAAGCTATTTAATATACAAATAACCCAGATGTTTGGTGTTATATAGTATTAAAGATTTATGTAGATAGAATAATATTTTCAACCATCAGGAGTGTTAACTCATTTTAAGAAAAAGTTCTCTAACTTCAGTTTTCATTCTAGAATATGCACAGATATTCAAGCTCTATCTTTTCTGTCATACAAAAGTATACTATTTGATACCTGCATACATTTAACAGCTGATGCTCAAGTGTACCATGTTTGAGTTGTTTTGTGCAAAAGAATTAATTGCCACTTATTTTAATTTGTTCTTTCTGTCAAAAAGATTCTCCCAAGAGGATCAAGAAAGAGGGTGGTTCTTGGCCATAGTATTCGGTTAATAGACAAGAAAAGCAATTTGTTCACTTTCTCTTCCAAAGACTATGTTCTGGGGTTTAAAGCTTAGTCTTATCTAACCAAGTTAAAACAAACTTCATATTTAACAGTCTTCTGCTTATACTGGCTTTCAGTTTTACCAGCACATGAAAGCTCTCCCAATGATCAGAAATGTTGTGGCTATTGAACTGTTTGAATGAGTCTGTTCCTTATTCACAATAGTGTCTGAGAACCTTAAGATGTAAAATATTATACATTTTGAAGAATAGTTGTGATCAAGAGTGAAAAATGTAGGACGTTGAGACAAGGAGCCCCGGCCTCAGGTCATATCTCCCAGTCAATCCCACACAATTCCTAGTTTAAACCAAGCAGCTCATAATAGTTGTAAATTCAGAATTTTACAGGAGTTGGATTAAGAGGAATGCCTTAAGCTTATTCTCCCAAACCATTCATTTGTTTATTTGTTTAACAAGCAGTTGTGAATGCCGAAGCGGTTCTGCACGCCTGTGCTAGGTGCTGGGATACAGAAAGAATATTCCTCCACTCTACTCACAAATACAAAGATGAACAAGTACCACTGCCAAATAAATACAAAGTTAAAATAGTACTTTATTATATCCATCAACCTACCCTACTCATATTTTCATCAAATATAAAGACTTCCATCCCCCACAATTGCGGTGCTTCTCAAGCAATAAAAATAAGTGTGTTTCTAAAACTGTGAAAAATAATATCAGGTTGTACTGTTTCATTTAAACCTTGGCTTTGGCAGTGCTAGGCTGCTTGGAATCAATCAATGCTGAGATGCAGCATGTTAATTACAGCTGAGAAAGGAAGTGGCAGGTGTTTCCAACTCTGATGAGCTGCAATGAAATTGATGTTTTCTGAGTTCTGGAGGCAAATGACAATTCAGCAATGTCTGTCTTCCCAGGAAGCAGATTTACAGGTTTTTCCTTCCAAACTGAAAATGGCAGCCTGTCCCACCCAGGTGGTTGATCAGAGAACTGCCTCAGCAGGCAGAGGTGGCAGGGGGCAGCTGGGGCTGCCACAGTGCTGGAGAGAGTGGCAGGCGTTGGATGTGGGGAGCTCAAATGTGGGAGTTTATCGTAATAAGAAGGTTCACGCACAGGAGAGCGTGTACTATTTCACCTACTGTTTATCTTCTAACCTCACTGCTGAGTGGCTTGTCAAAGATTAATTTGCTCCAACAATCGGGAACTATTCATGTGGATTGAAATGTGTTACACGTGGACTGCTATAAATACTGAAATGAACCAAAAATAAACGGTTTTGTGTCGAAGGAATCAAAACATTTTCATATGAGCTTGGCCTGGCACCTCTGAGGGCAGCGTCCATTTCATTTTATTTCTTTTCAGCCAAAGGACCTGAGTAAAGCTTGGATTTCATGTGAGAGTCTGGGAGTGAACGTTGGTGGCTTTAATCCACTGCAGCACCTGGAAGGACTTAACCTGACCAGCAAATGGGATTCGAATGGGAGGAGTGAAGTCGACTCACCTCAGGTGTATTCTCTCAACAAAGAAGGCTATTCTCAGGGCAGGGGCGGGGGAGCCCTGGGGCCTAGCCTCATTTCACCTCCATTTCTCTTAACCTCTTGCTGGGACAGCCTGGCTTTAGATTTCACACACTCAACAGGACCCCCCACCCCCTTCCTGGCCAGAACTGGCCTCTTCCTTCAGTTTCCACTCTCTCAGGACCTGGTCTGTTTTGTTTCTTCTGTTCTTAATGCCAGCACACGCACATTTGTGAAATGAGGGCGCAGAAGCCAGAATTGCCACATCGGGTTAGTACAATGGTCAGCCCCTACCTCCCCAAGTTGTCTCTATTGTTCCAAAGTTTTATCTGCTGGTGGAATATTTGAAGTGATCCTCCTTTTCCATTAAATATTAACTATAGAAACTGCAGGGGAGAGTTGTTTTGTTGAGGGAGGGTTGGCCTGCTTTCTGGCGCTGGGGGCTGGTTCTTTAAGGAACAGTTGCTGGGCTCCTCTGACCTGCTGGCACAGTCTTTAGCAGCTGCAACTCACAGTCCTTCAGCCTTTAGGGCATGCTTGGTGATTTCCTGTCAACTTCTCTCCCAGCTCATTTCTAGAAATTAAAATAACAACAATAACAACAAAGCCCAAAGCTGTCCCAGCTCTCCAAGGAGGCCTCTCCCTGAGGATGGTAATGGATACTGTGAATCCATTTCGCCTCCCCTGCCAGGTGCTGGAATATGCTTTGTGAGTTATTCCACTTCATCCTGAAAGCAAATCCTCAAGGTGAACACTACGCGATTTTGAGATGATATGACGGAGACAGAGCAATTCAGGAGCCTGCCTGGTAGTGCAGGTACACAGGGGTGAAGCAGACTGGACCCGGGTATGTCAGCCCCTCGAGCCCACAACCCCAAACTTGAACTTTGCGCTTGCCTGCCCTTCCCTTCCTCATCTAGATGGGTTCCCAATGCCACCCTCCCTACACACCAGTGCCCAGCCCTGCCGGGGGAAATCTGGGGATAGAAGCCAAAGCTTTGAAGTGCTTTGTATTTCCTCCTAAGCTGCACCTATAATATACTTGGGCATGAAAACAGTTGTTTAGAACAGTTAAATGACTTGACCTCCATCACCACTCACAGATATCGCCCAATAACCATGATACTCTAGGAAAACACACTCTCTTTCCTGGGCGATCACATTCCCTGACGGTGCCATGGACTCCAGGGGGGCTTTTATGCCCAAATTTGGGGACCATGGCACTACATGCATAATCAAACCCCAAGCCCAAAGGGTAGGGAAGCAAGAAAAAAGGCCAAGGAGATAGGAGAGAAAGGGGATCAAGAGGGGAGCAACAGATAGTGAGATGGCTTTTGTAGGCTCCTAGGGAGACAGCACAGAGGTGGGGGGAGGGGAGGAACAGGTTGGAGGAGAGCAGGACAGAGTCACTGGAAAGTGGCTCTTCTGAGAAAGAAACAACCTGGTGCTGGGCAGCAGCTCCAAAGACACCCGTGTCACAGGAATCAGTAACCCCCCCCTAATAACAGACCGTGTTTCCATAACAGTTTGCAGGAAGCTCGCTTGTGTGTGTGTGTGTGGGGGGGGGAGGTATGGGTAGTCCCCAAACTATAAGTGTGTGATTTGAAAACAAGAAAAAAAAAGTATAATCGTCCTAAACACAGTAACCTGAGCTGAGAGTTACTAATCCAGGGGCCTGATTCCAGTCCTGTCGCTGCTCACTCGATGACAATGAACAAACTCAGTTGTGCCTCTCTGTTGTGCCTCAGCGTCTTCATCTGTGAAGACAATCCCTTCCCCGCTTCTTGTAAGAATCAGTCTGCTGTACATAGGCTCCAATTTTAAAATGGGAATAGCGAGACTATAACTTTGTCATCAGAATGGCCATAGGGAGTCTCAAACCATCTGAATCCAAATAGCAGAAAGAGAATACAGCACTTCAAATCTCAGCAGAATGAGTAAGAATGGGTCCTTCCCACAACAGAAGACAAAAGCATAAACCAGGCCAGGAAGCACAATTCTCAGAGCTTTGTCACTTTCCTTTCGGGACCCTCCCTCTGAACTGACCTCTGCTGACCTATTGTCCAGCCTTCTGCAGGCCTTGACCAGAGGTTCTTCAAGTAGACCCTGAAAACACCATCTGACCCTGGTGATTTGGTTCCATCTCACTGTTAGATGTAATACTTCTAACCTGCCTCCCTGAAAGGAAACATCCAAAGTATAAATAGCCTTATTATTGCCCCAATAAAGATGGAAGCAGAGACCCTAGCTTCTCCATGTCACACGGGTCTGGAGGTGGGTGTAGCAGGAAGGTGGGCTGTAACTGTCACAAGGGAGACCTCTGATCACTGACCTGGGAAGGAGCCTGGGTGACTCTGGAAGTAATTCTGGTGATCTAGGACATGGACCACCACACACCAAGAAAATCATTGGGACCCCAGCTATTCTTGCCTGGCTGGGCTGAAGTGGTTGACAACCTTGCCTTTTTCTCCTTCAAAGCTCTGCCCAGCTGCAGATTCTCTAGTGTTCTCCATCCCTCTGCTAGGTGACTCCAGTCACAGCCACTGATTTTACAACTTCGCCTCTTCCTGTAGTTGGCTCGCAGCTAGCATGCTCAGGTAAGGCAGTTCCTCTACTTATGTCTGCGCTTCACTGTTAGGTCTAGAAGGACAGGTAAGCAAGTAACTTGTTTCAAAGAACTTGGGACACATCCCCTCCTGGCTGGATTAGAGGCTCTGTGAGTGGCACCATCCTGTGGGACCCTCAGAAACATCCCTAATCTCAGCCCAACATGACATACACCAAAGTCAGAGTCCTTGAGCTTCCTCTGTCCCATGTCTTCCCTGCCCACCAACAAAAGTCCTTGATTGCCCACTCCAGCCCTGCATCTGGGGTGTTAATCCAGACAAGAGGCCCATGAGGGGCATGTTCACTGGCAGCCTGACCATCAAAGGCCACTGTTAATATCCTAGCATTTCCAAGGGGCCAAGCAGTGAGAATTGTCACTTAAGGCGCTCACTCCAGAGTCATTTTGTCTCTTACACATTCTTTATATCTGGAGAGCACACCTTACTTTCCATGATCAAAAAGGTCCCCAAGAGATTCCAAGTGCACTCCCAATCCCAACCCCAAGCCCTGCGTCTTTGATGTGGTCAATTTTGATTATTGATTGGGCTCCAGCCCTTTGTTAAGCCCTCCTTGTGATGTGCAGGGACCTCCCTTTTTGTCCTTTCGAACAAATGTCTATTAGTTTCCTAGGGCTGCTGTAATAAAGTATCATAAACTGGGGGCTTAAAATAACAGAAATGTATTCTCTCACAGTGCTGGAGGCTAGAGGCTAGAAGTCCAAAATGAAGGTGCCTGGAGGCATTGCTTCCCCCGCCCCCAGCTTGGGGCAGCAGAGGTTGGGGGGCCGGGAGCGTGAGGGTATTTGCTTGCCTTTCCAACTACTGGTAGCCCCAGCCCTCCAGCCCCTCTTCTTTGGGTGTGTCTTTATCAGCTTTGCTGTGTGTATGTCTGTTCCAAGTTTTCCTCTCCTCCTAAGGACACTGGCTCTTCTAAACCCAGTGCCCACCCTACTCCAGTGTGACCTCCAGTGTGTCCCCAAATAAAGTCACATTCTGAGGTCCTGGGAATTAGGACTTCCACATATCCTTTTTAGGGGACAGCATTCAACTGCAAACAGCATTCACATTTGGGGAATGTGAAAATGAGTCCACTGAAAGCATCTTTCAGTGGGAGTTTCACCTTATTTTGATTTGAGATGCTCAGTTTACCTCCATCCTGGGTTTTTAACCTGCACAACAAAAAAGCAGCACAGCAAAATAAAAAGAAACAGAATACAAAAGACAAGTTGCCTTAAATATGACAGGAAATGATGATCAATATTTGAATGGAGCACACAGACCCCAATTTTCTCTCCGTTATTTTATTAGTTGCAGTTAGTTTTTGCTATTCTTTCAATGGTTACCTTAGAGGCTACATCATGAGTCACTGATTTATCAAAGTACAATATAAATTTTACTTTTTACCAGGCTAAGCCTTAACTCCCTTTACTCCCTCCCAATTTAAACACTTTTGTTTAAGTGCATTTCACTTATGTATTTCCATTTGTATTTGATCTTTATCCCTCCCAGTGGCACCAGAGTCATCATCTGGGATGACTTTTCTTTTGTCCTTCATTTTCGTATTTCCTTTTGTTTGGGTCTGTTAGTCACATTTTTTCTCAGTGGCAATTTTTACTAAGCATGTCTTATTTTCTCTTTGTTTATTACAGTGGAGTCTTTTGGAAACTCAAACCAGAGCCTTATTGGGAGCTTCCCTCCAGCCCTCATAAATTTGATAGTGCCTAAGCTTTTGTCTGCGTAGGCTGACGGCTGCCTGTTCAACCTCTCAGCTTTTCAGATGCTTCCTCTGACGGTGGCAGATGCCCCAAGAGGGAAAAATAGTCCCAGGGAATGGGCTTATCTTCCCAGGCTTCCTTCTTTTTTTAAGATTTATTTTATTTATGCATACTAGAACTGGGGTACAGGCCAGAGGTGCCGGGGGCGGGGGAGGTGAGAGGATCCACCAAAGACAGAGTGGGGAGCAGAACAGGTGGATTGACTGAAATACACTGCGGAGGGGAGTAGTGGGAGAGACAGAAGAGGTCCACTGTGCCATGTGGTTTAGCTCCCTGGCTGGGGATCGAGCTCCAGCTGCAGTGGCTGTGAATAGCTTCAGAGTGCTGTGACTTAACCCCTTGCACCACCAGGGAGGCCCTTTAGGTTTCCTTCTTCTCCAACATCTTGACCTTCTGATTTTCATTAG